GTAGAAATATAAAGATTATTAATAAGGTGAAAAATATTTTAATCGAATATTTTCTAAAAAGCTTTTATAAGTTATATGTTAATTTTGTTTTGAATAATAAACATTTGATGTTTATATAAAATAATTAGCGCGGTTTTCATTTGCTGTTTTGTCGGATTCAAATAGAGACATAAATGCTACCCATTATTTTCCGCTGTTAAAGATGTGGAACTCGACTTGTGAGGGTCTTCAAAGTGATGGATAACAATTTCAGGTTTATTTACAAACACGTTTTATTTATGAGCAGAAATATGAATTTAACACCTTTTAAATAACACAAAAATTGAAAGTACATATTAACTTCAATGTATGGCTGATACGATTGGTCGGATATCTGTGTAAGATAGCTGAAAGTCAAGTGTGCATTGTTTTTGTTTAATGTTTCTCTAAATATTAAAAATAAGTTTTCGGATACATAGATACAATAAGCCACACACACTAATCCAGATACAACTAACTGTAGATACAACTCGCCAGAGATACCACTAGCCAGAGATACAACTAGCCACAGATACAACTAGCAACAGATACCACTAACCGCAGATACAACTAGCAACAGATACAACAAGTAACAGATACAACTAGCCACAGATAGAACAAGTAACAGACACAACTAGCAACAGATACAACTAGCCACAGATAGAACAAGTAACAGACACAACTAGCAACAGATACAACTAGCAACAGATACAACTAGCCACAGATAGACAAGTAACAGACACAACTAGCAACAGATACAACTAGCCACAGATAGAACAAGTAACAGACACAACTAGCAACAGATACAACTAGCCACAGATAGAACAAGTAACAGACACAACTAGCAACAGATACAACTAGCCACAGATAGAACAAGTAACAGACACAACTAGCAACAGATACAACTAGCCACATATACAACTAGCAACATACAACTAGCCACATATACAACTAACCGCTGATACAACTAGCCACATATACAACTAGCAACAGATACAACTAGCAACATATACAACTAGCCACATATACAACTAGCCACAGATACAACTAGCCACAGATACAACTAGCCACAGATACAACTAGCCACAGATACAACTAGCCACATATACAACTAGCCACAGATACAGCTAGCCACATATACAACTAGCCACAGATACAACTAGCCACATATAGGGCCAGCCAACTCACCAGCTTGTCCTAATGCTACCTAGTAGACAGAGAGTCAGCTAGTCAGGCCGCTACATTCTCACACCTTGACTTATATACTCCTTACATTGAGTCGACACATCCATCTTTCTGGACATTTGAGCGCCACTTGGTCCTGCTGTCTCCGATCATGTTTGTAACTCAATCTTTACGATAACCGAAATGTCCATCCAATTAGCATATCACTTCCACAAGAGCCATTGTGTTTGACGGGTGGGCTTTCACTGCTACTTTTTTTTACATACCTGAGCTAAAGTGTCACGTTTATACAAATGTGTACAGTACAACTAGTTTTCTCTACCTGAACTGAAGTGTCACGTTTATACAACTGTGTACAGTACAACTACTTGGTTTTCTCTACCTGAGCTGAGGTGTCACGTTTATACAACTGTGTACAGTACAACTACTTGGTTTTCTCTACCTGAGCTGAAGTGTCACGTTTATACAACTGTGTACAGTACAACTACTTGGTTTTCTCTACCTGAGCTGAGGTGTCACGTTTATACAACTGTGTACAGTACAACTACTTGGTTTTCTCTACCTGAGCTGAGGTGTCACGTTTATACAACTGTGTACAGTACAACTAGTTTTCTCTACCTTAGGTGTCACGTTTATACAACTGTGTACAGTACAACTACTTGGTTTTCTCTACCTGAGCTGAGGTGTCACGTTTATACAACTGTGTACAGTACAACTACTTGGTTTTCTCTACCTGAGCTGAGGTGTCACGTTTATACAACTGTGTACAGTACAATTACTTGGTTTTCTCTACCTGAGCTGAGGTGTCACGTTTATACAACTGTGTACAGTACAACTACTTGGTTTTCTCTACCTGAGCTGAGTTGTCACGTTTATACAACTGTGTACAGTACAACTACTTGGTTTTCTCTACCTGAGCTGAGGTGTCACTTTTATACAACTGTGTACAGTACAACTACTTGGTTTTCTCTACCTGAGCTGAGTTGTCACGTTTATACAACTGTGTACAGTACAACTACTTGGTTTTCTCTACCTGAGCTGAGGTGTCACGTTTATACAACTGTGTACAGTACAACTACTTGGTTTTCTCTACCTGAGCTGAGTTGTCACGTTTATACAACTGTGTACAGTACAACTACTTGGTTTTCTCTACCTGAGCTGAGGTGTCACTTTTATACAACTGTGTACAGTACAACTACTTGGTTTTCTCTACCTGAGCTGAGTTGTCACGTTTATACAACTGTGTACAGTACAACTACTTGGTTTTCTCTACCTGAGCTGAGGTGTCACGTTTATACAACTGTGTACAGTACAACTACTTGGTTTTCTCTACCTGAGCTGAGTTGTCACGTTTATACAACTGTGTACAGTACAACTACTTGGTTTTCTCTACCTGAGCTGAGTTGTCACGTTTATACAACTGTGTACAGTACAACTAGCTTTTTCTACCTGAGCTGAGGTGTCACGTTTATACAACTGTGTACAGTACAACTACTTGGTTTTCTCTACCTGAGCTGAGTTGTCACGTTTATACAACTGTGTACAAAACAACTACTTGGTTTTCTCTACCTGAGCTGAGTTGTCACGTTTATACAACTGTGTACAGTACAACTACTTGGTTTTCTCTTACTGAGGTGTCACGTTTATACAACTGTGTACAGTACAACTACTTGGTTTTCTCTACCTGAGCTGAGTTGTCACGTTTATACAACTGTGTACAGTACAACTACTTGGTTTTCTCTACCTTAGGTGTCACGTTTATACAACTGTGTACAGTACAACTACTTGGTTTTCTCTACCTGAGCTGAGGTGTCACGTTTATACAACTGTGTACAGTACAACTACTTGGTTTTCTCTTACTGAGGTGTCACGTTTATACAACTGTGTACAGTACAACTACTTGGTTTTCTCTACCTTAGGTGTCACGTTTATACAACTGTGTACAGTACAACTACATGGTTTTCTCTACCTGAGCTGAGTTGTCACGTTTATACAACTGTGTACAGTACAACTACTTGGTTTTCTCTACCTGAGCTGAGGTGTCACGTTTATACAACTGTGTACAGTACAACTACTTGGTTTTCTCTACCTTAGGTGTCACGTTTATACAACTGTGTACAGTACAACTACTTGGTTTTCTCTACCTGAGCTGAGGTGTCACGTTTATACGACTGTGTACAGTACAGCTTCTTGGTTTTCTCTACCTGAGCTGAGGTGTCACGTTTATACAACTGTGTACTGTACAACTACTTGGTTTTCTCTACCTGAGCTGAGGTGTCACGTTTATACAACTGTGTACAGTACAACTACTTGGTTTTCTCTACCTGAGCTGAGGTGTCACGTTTATACAACTGTGTACAGTACAACTAGTTTTCTCTACCTTAGGTGTCACGTTTATACAACTGTGTACAGTACAACTAGTTGGTTTTCTCTACCTGAGCTGAGGTGTCACGTTTATACAACTGTGTACAGTACAACTACTTGGTTTTCTCTACCTGAGCTGAAGTGTCACGTTTATACAACTGTGTACAGTACAACTACTTGGTTTTCTCTACCTGAGCTGAGTTGTCACGTTTATACAACTGTGTACAGTACAACTACTTGGTTTTCTCTACCTGAGCTGAGGTGTCACGTTTATACAACTGTGTACAGTACAACTAGTTTTCTCTACCTGAGCTGAGTTGTCACGTTTATACAACTGTGTACAGTACAACTACTTGGTTTTCTCTTACTGAGGTGTCACGTTTATACAACTGTGTACAGTACAACTACTTGGTTTTCTCTTACTGAGGTGTCACGTTTATACAACTGTGTACAGTACAACTACTTGGTTTTCTCTACCTGAGCTGAGGTGTCACGTTTATACAACTGTGTACAGTACAACTACTTGGTTTTCTCTACCTGAGCTGAGGTGTCACGTTTATACAACTGTGTACAGTACAACTAGTTTTCTCTACCTGAGCTGAGTTGTCACGTTTATACAACTGTGTACAGTACAACTAGTTTTCTCTACCTGAGCTGAGTTGTCACGTTTATACAACTGTGTACAGTACAACTACTTGGTTTTCTCTTACTGAGGTGTCACGTTTATACAACTGTGTACAGTACAACTACTTGGTTTTCTCTTACTGAGGTGTCACGTTTATACAACTGTGTACAGTACAACTACTTGGTTTTCTCTACCTGAGCTGAGGTGTCACGTTTATACAACTGTGTACAGTACAATTACTTGGTTTTCTCTACCTAAGCTGAGTTGTCACGTTTATACAACTGTGTACAGTACAACTACTTGGTTTTCTCTACCTGAGCTGAGGTGTCACGTTTATACAACTGTGTACAGTACAACTACTTGGTTTTCTCTACCTGAGCTGAGGTGTCACGTTTATACAACTGTGTACAGTACAACTAGTTTTCTCTACCTTAGCTGAAGTGTCACGTTTATACAACTGTGTACAGTACAACTACTTGGTTTTCTCTACCTGAGCTGAGGTGTCACGTTTATACAACTGTGTACAGTACAACTACTTGGTTTTCTCTACCTGAGCTGAGGTGTCACGTTTATACAAATGTGTACAGTACAACTAGTTTTCTCTACCTGAGCTGAAGTGTCACGTTTATACAACTGTGTACAGTACAACTACTTGGTTTTCTCTACCTGAGCTGAGGTGTCACGTTTATACAACTGTGTACAGTACAACTACTTGGTTTTCTCTACCTGAGCTGAGGTGTCACGTTTATACAACTGTGTACAGTACAACTAGTTTTCTCTACCTGAGCTGAGTTGTCACGTTTATACAACTGTGTACAGTACAACTAGTTTTCTCTACCTGAGCTGAGTTGTCACGTTTATACAACTGTGTACAGTACAACTACTTGGTTTTCTCTTACTGAGGTGTCACGTTTATACAACTGTGTACAGTACAACTACTTGGTTTTCTCTTACTGAGGTGTCACGTTTATACAACTGTGTACAGTACAATTACTTGGTTTTCTCTACCTGAGCTGAGGTGTCACGTTTATACAACTGTGTACAGTACAACTACTTGGTTTTCTCTTACTGAGGTGTCACGTTTATACAACTGTGTACAGTACAACTACTTGGTTTTCTCTACCTGAGCTGAGTTGTCACGTTTATACAACTGTGTACAGTACAACTACTTGGTTTTCTCTACCTGAGCTGAGTTGTCACGTTTATACAACTGTGTACAGTACAATTACTTGGTTTTCTCTACCTGAGCTGAGTTGTCACGTTTATACAACTGTGTACAGTACAATTACTTGGTTTTCTCTACCTGAGCTGAGGTGTCACGTTTATACAACTGTGTACAGTACAACTACTTGGTTTTCTCTACCTGAGCTGAGTTGTCACGTTTATACAACTGTGTACAGTACAATTACTTGGTTTTCTCTACCTGAGCTGAGTTGTCACGTTTATACAACTGTGTACAGTACAATTACTTGGTTTTCTCTACCTGAGCTGAGGTGTCACGTTTATACAACTGTGTACAGTACAACTAGTTTTCTCTACCTGAGCTGAGTTGTCACGTTTATACAACTGTGTACAGTACAACTACTTGGTTTTCTCTACCTGAGGTGTCACGTTTATACAACTGTGTACGGTACAACTAGTTTTCTCTACCTAAACTGAAGTGTCACGTGCATACAACTGTGTACAGTACAACTACTTGGTTTTCTCTACCTGAACAGTCACGTTTATACAACTGTGTACAGTACAATTACTTGGTTTTCTCTACCTGAGCTAAGGTGTCACGTTTATACAACTGTGTACAGTACAACTACTTTGTTTTCTCTACCTGAACAGTCACGTTTATACAACTGTGTACAGTACAATTACTTGGTTTTCTCTACCTGAGCTAAGGTGTCACGTTTATACAACTGTGTACAGTACAACTAGTTTTCTCTACCTGAACTGAGGTGTCACGTTTATACAACTGTGTACGATACAGTTAACAAACCGACAAATGTTCAAAAACTACATTTGTTTTAGTTATAACATTTCTTTAAATAACGCAAATACGTGTTTTGGTAATGTGAATTCGTTTTAAAAAAAATGAAATGTTTAACTACTAAAAGTACTTATAATTAATCAATAGATAGATGGATGTGCATTAAACATGCGTGTACTTATTCTTTGGATTTTTTTCTTTTGTTTGTTTGACATTTTAGCTCTTGCTTGAAATATTTTTTGTACGAAATTTGTTCCAATTCAGCAACATTTTACTTCTTTATTCAACAATGTAAAAATATTACTTTACTGTCCAGAAATAACTAGTTTTATTAACGCATCGCAAGTCTTCAAAAATCCGCTAAATAAATACATAATATAAGTGTAGAAAATATTAAAACTAGACGTATCCATCTTTAAAAAATAATACATGAAATAGTAACACAACAAAATAAGCTACTGCGTCAGTATACACAATTTAGACTAGGCATTTTGCTTCTTAAAACTTATATTAAATCAATAAAAGTACGTGAAAGATGGTTTGATGGGCATGACTAACTACAATTATCTTGCCATGGTTAAAGAATAAGTTTACTGAATATGTGAGTTCCTTCTTTGTTAATGACTGTCTGTGAGTTTGTTTGGGTTATATCACAACTAACACCAGTTGCATCTCCCATAGATCTGTTGGTGTTTTTATTCATGTTAAGTACATCAAAATATGAATTTAAAACACACACAAAATAACAGTTGTAGTTGTCGTGGAAATCGTATAAAACTTCCACCATTTAAATGTACAGTCTATTTTTTTAGTTCCGTTGATCACGTGTCTTGATATATTTAATTGTTGTCATTTTCAAACCTTTTATCAACACAGCTTTTAAAATGATAAATACTTTCGGTACTGCGTGGTAGCGAATACTATCTATTAAGTTTTATGAAAAACTAGGATATGGGTAAGGGGAGAGGGTTACCGTATATTTCTTCACTTAGTTGAGTATTATAATCTTAAACCTTTTTTGTTTTAGTTTGTATGTGTTTAAGTGTGTGATTGCGTGTGTGTAATCCCGTTCTAGAATCACTTTAAAAGCTAATGTAATACCAAAATCAATATAAGAAAGGAACTCGACAGCAACGCCCCCAAACTTTGATGCCAGCTTTTAAAGGTATACTAGACAACCCAGTTTCCCTTTGTATAATGGTCTATCGCTTGCACTACGCCATACAAACGACGCACTGGCTATTATCGCCCCACCCACATTTAACACACCAGCTCTCACCCACCTACAATGTCAAGTATATTTTTTTTTTTATATTTCAGTTTCCAAGTAAATAATTAAATGCTGGAGTAGAAAGTAACAAACTCATTATATTTATTTTTCTACAGTATTTTATATACACTATTCAGTCATGCGAATTGATTGTGGTGATAAGATCAAACTGGCTGTAAGATAGAATAAGACACATATGTTGATGAGCCAGCTAGAATTAAAGTTGTTTAAAGCATAAGAAAAAAAAATTAATTTACACAAGCACTAGGTGTTCAAACTTCTTTTTCAATCAATTTAAATGATGCTAATTAGTGACAGTCAGTCATGCTTGATTGGCCGATTTGGTCAAGTTCATGTTTAAAACGGGCAGTAAACAATTTCGTTTACTTAAATTCACATAATTTACGTGAAAAATTGCAAAATTTCGTGAATACTAAACCTGTTTATGTGTTTGTTGTGTTGCTGACACGCGAAAATTTTAAATCTTGAATGGGGGAACTGGAGTGTGCTATGATATAGTGTCGAATATATTTTTTTTTGTTTTTATGTTCAAGATTGTTACAGTAGTGAACAAGCTGTGATCCCTCCAGGGTAGATCCACAGCTCTTTAAAATGTTGACAAGATCGTGTTGTTGATTGCGCGGCAAACTTCACCGATATTTATGTCCACTGCTATATGACTTAAGCGACATCCATTTTTAAACATAGCTGATATTTTATTCTTGCATTAAAACAATAATTTAAAAACAACAAACAGTTAAAATTATGTTAATTAGCTTCAACTCAAAGTTTCACGTCAAACATTACTCTGTTACTCCCCTTAGAACATACACATAAGCATTTGTTTTAGAAATAATGCAATGTTAAACTAACTACTAAAAGTACGTATAATCAATTAATAGATGGATGTGCAGTAAACATAGTCAACATTTGTGTATCAATTTTGTGGGTTTCTTTCTCGTGTTTGTTTGACATTTTAGCGCTTGCTTGAAAAATGAATAAAAACTGATAGCAAGAGGCGTCGGGAGGCGAGGGCATGGGGTGAGGACCGCACCGGGTGACAGCATATAGAGGGGGTGACAACAAGAAAAAAATGCTAAATAAATATAAGAAATATGCTTTTTACCAGTTCAATGAATAGAGTTAAAAAGTATTTTAATTAAAAATTGACGATCTTGTAAAGGGGTTAGGGGGTGGGGGAGGGGTGACACCATGATATAACTATACGGAAAACGATGCTACATCCAGCTGTATTAAAAGCCGACTATAGTTAAGCATCTTTTATATTAACTGTGAACACTTTAAAGCTGTCACCCGTCGGAGAGGGTGGGGGAGGTGACACCTACTACAAGATTTACTGATAGAAATAAAATTGTTGAATATTTTCAATAATTAATTAGTCAATCAATGACTCGGATAGGTTGACACTATATCTAATAATTTACAATGAAAACGTTGGGTTTTTTTTCCTCTTGAATTATATGTGGATATAAGTTATTTGTGCACAAATTAACAGCATCTGGCAAAATGGGAGGGGATGACACCAATTCCAACTATATATATATATATATATATATATATATATATATATATATATATATATATATATATATATATATATATATATTATACAGGTTCAAGTCAGTAGAACGTGACTGACTCACGTTAGGCAAACAAAGGCGGCTGGTCATAGTGCTGACCACGCTATCCCTTCATATGCCGAGGTCTCTGAAGCAGATGAACTCTACTTCATCTGCCCCATGTGTCTTAGGCACGAACGGGAATGATGAGGTGCCGCACCAGGTGACACTCGACCTAGCGACGCCACCGCTGCTAGCCTATTTATATTTTTGGTTTACACCTGTGAACAGAGGAGCATCATTGCTCAAATCAATCATAAACTGGAAAGTTCAACACCAAATGTAACTGAAATAGATACTTATTCAGGGGAAATATTGAATACATCAGGTGATCATAAAAGTATTTTATTGAATCGAAATAAACAAAAAATGACTGCATCACTTAAACAAAATATTAAATACAGCTGTTGATGTTGTTTCCTTAGTGCTGCCTCATATGTCAGCATGTTTTCAAACGTTTATGTAATCCTTTAGTAAATAGGGTCTGTTATCATATACTCTCCGGGTTTTTGAAATTCCATGGTATGAAGTTGAACTGCGAAAATAATTGAACTTTCTGGCCTCACGGTGATTAAAGATTGACTGATGTTGTGGATTGGAACAAGTTTTCTGTAAGAAAAGATAACAATATTTTTACAAGCGGTTAAGTAATACGTGAATGTCTAGATATTTTGTATTTATATAGGTATCTTCAAAGACTTGGCAGATTATATACACTCATGTTTATACTTTAAAAAACATTCCACATTCTCCCCAGCAACGTGTTTCTTATGTTATTTCACCTATAGTTTCTCACCTATGTTCTTTCACCTGTGGTCCATCACCTAAAAATTCTCATCTGAAGTTTCTTACCTGTTCTTTCTCATATGTAGTTTCTTACCTGTAGTTTCCCTCCTGACCTTTCTCACCTGTAGTTTATCATCTGTTCTTTCTCACCTGTTCTTTCTTACGTGTATTTTCTCATATATAGATTCTCACCTGTTGATTTAACCTGTAGTTTCTCACCTGTAGTTTCTTACCTGTAGATTCTCACCTACAGTTTCTCACCTGTAGTTTCTCACCTGTAGTTTCTCACCTGTAGTTTCTCACCTGTAGTTTCTCACCTGTAGTTTCTCACCTCTTGTTTCTCACCTGTAGTTTCTCACCTGTGGTTTCTTACCTGTAGATTCTCACCTCTAGTTTCTCACCTGTAGTTTCTCACCTGTAGTTTCTCACCTGTAGTTTCTCACCTCTAGTTTCTCACCTGTAGTTTCTCACCTGTGGTTTCTTACCTGTAGATTATCACCTCTAGTTTCTCACCTGTACTTTATCTCTTGTGATTCCTCTGTTATCCTACACCAAGGATGTACGGATGACGCTGGGAGCAGCTTGACCAGAAACCTATCAACAGATGAACAAAGAGATAATGGTGGCTCCATACTTATGGCTCATTACGTGCTTGACATTAGCAAAGAAAAAGTTACCTTAATTACTTTCTGTATGAGGGAATCTGGAAAAAAAAAGAACAGTCTATAAAATGGTTGTATTATAAGTATATATATATATATATATATATATATATATATATATATATATATATATATATATATATATATATATATATATATATATATATATATACATTATTGAATGACAATTGATCTACAAACGTTGTTAACAGAATCCAAATATAAAAATGTTTGGTTAGCATTGAATAACACATTACACCATATAATGACGAATGCCTTCAGTGACAAACGACATTCTACAAACCTCGAGTTGTGCTGGGGAGAGCTTTAATAGGCTTTGTTGTTTTAGCTGTTGTTTTTGTAATTGTTTTAGTTGGGTTAGCCTTGGTAGTTGCTTTAGTCGGTGTAGCTTTGGTAGTTGTTGTCGTCGGGGTAGTTGTTGTCGTCGGGGTAGTTGTTGTCGTCGGGGTAGTTGTTGATGCTGGTGTTGTAGTTGTAACAGTGGTAGTCTCTGAAAAGATTCAATTGTACAATTTAAATCACTCTTTACAGATGTTCTTTTATCCCCCATTAGAATGTACACAACCAATTTTTCACCTCTCGTTCTATTCATTCACCCCACCTCCCATCCATTCACCCTACCTCCCATCCATTCACCCCACCTCCCATCCATTCACCCCACCTCCCATCCATTCACCCCACCTCCCATCCATTCACCCCACCTCCCATCCATTCACCCCCACCTCCCATCCATTAATCCCACCTCCCATCCATTCACCCCACCTCCCATCCATTCACCCCACCTCCTATCCATTCACCCCACCTCCCATCCATTCACCCCACCTCCCATCCATTCACCCCCACCTCCCATCCATTCACCCCACCTCCCATCCATTCACCCCCACCTCCCATTTATACAGCCACCCGCCCCTTCCATTCTCCCGTATCTATTAACAGTTCTTAATATCAGTAAGTATGATCATATATATTTTAAAACAAGCCAAGTACTCTATCAGCGAGTCCATTAAAACATTAAACAAGAGTTGATCAGTGTCTCTGACACGAGAACTATCCTCAATGTCTCTGACACGAGAACTATCCTCAAGGTCTCTTACACGAGAACTATCCTCAAGGTCTCTTACACGAGAACTATCCTCAAGGTCTCTTACACGAGAACTATCCTCAAGGTCTCTTACACGAGAACTATCCTCAAGGTCTCTTACACGAGAACTATCCTCAAGGTCTCTTACACGAGAACTATCCTCAAAGTCTCTGACATAAGAACTATCCTCAAGGTCTCTGACACCAGAACTATCCTCAAGGTCTCTGTTATAAGAACTATCCTCAAGGTCTCTCACACGAGAACTATCCTCAAGGTCTCTTACACGAGAACTATCCTCAAGGTCTCTCACACGAGAACTATCCTCAAGGTCTCTTACACGAGAACTATCCTCAAGGTCTCTTACACGAGAACTATCCTCAAGGTCTCTCACACGAGAACTATCCTCAAGGTCTCTTACACGAGAACTATCCTCAAGGTCTCTTACACGAGAACTATCCTCAAGGTCTCTTACACGAGAACTATCCTCAAGTTCTCTGACACGAGAACTGTCCTCAAGGTCTCTGTTATAAGAACTATCCTCAAGGTCTCTGTTATAACAACTATCCTCAAGGTCTCTTACACGAGAACTATCCTCAAGTTCTCTGTTATAAGAACTATCCTCAAGGTCTCTTACACGAGAACTATCCTCAAGTTCTCTGTTATAAGAACTATCCTCAAGGTCTCTGACACGAGAACTATCCTCAAGGTCTCTGACACGAGAACTATCCTCAAGGTCTCTGACATAAGAACTATCCTCAAGGTCTCTGACACGAGAACTATCCTCAAGGTCTTACACGAGAACTATCCTCAAGGTCTTTTACACGAGAACTATCCTCAAGGTCTCTGACACGAGAACTATCCTCAAGGTCT